CTCTGAGAAACTGACCATGCTCTAGGGGATGGCCTCATACTGAAGAGTATTTGGGCAATATAAATTGGACTCAATCGGTGTAAAAAGATAAAGGGCATGAAAGTGGATTGGTAGGAAGGCAGGGGAGGATCTGGGAGGAGATGGGTATGCGTGTGAATGAATATTGTATGACATTTTCAAAGAAGTTATAAAATATTACTTTTTACAAAGAAAAGAAAACTAAGAAAAAGCATAAATCTTACCTACTGAATGGCTTGCCATGATGTTAAAGGTGAGGATGTAGGCCGTGGAAACTTACTGAAGTATCCAGGTACTTGTGCCCTATGACAAAGAATTAGAACATGGACCCATGGTTAGAAATAAGAATACAGAGTTTAGGGACTAGAGAGATGGCTCAGCGGTTGAGAGCATTGACTAGTCTTGCAGAGGACCCTGGTTGACTTCCAGCACCCACATGGCGGTTACAAACCATCCTTAACTCCAGTTCCAGGGGAATCTGAAGCACTCTTCTGACCCCGCGGCAATGCACAACGTGGGTGAACTCATATATATCCAGGCAATACACTCATACACATAAAAATATTTTAAAAAATAAATAAAATATCAAAAAAAGAATAGAGAGTTTAAAAAGGGAAATCATTTTTGAGAATGGGGGTGGGCTAATGAACTTAGGGAAACATCCCAAAAGCTCTTGGTCACATGGTGCATAACTCTTTAGGAAGTGAGTTTCATGGAATAGTAAGTTTTTTTCATGCTTGCTTTGTTCCTTAAGTAAAGCCTAGATGAGGAAGGACTTCCAGTCTTTCTTTGCTAACTGCTTTGATATTGCTCCATTTACTGGATGAAGCCCAGGTGGGCAAGGGCTTCCAGTTTTTCTCTATAAACTGGTTTCCTTTATATGTTAATCTTTACATAGTTTTCTCCAGTCTCTAGTCTCCAGCCATGCCTGCACATGCCTCTCTGCAGAATGTGCCTCTGGGAATCACCCCAGTAATATGGCATTTGAAAGGAGGAAGAGGAATAAGGGTAGGAAGAAAGGGTAAGAGAATGGACCTGTAGGTCATAGGAAAGACTCAAGATAGGTCATCAGCAGGCTTCATGCTGCTGTGGAAGGGAAAGTGATGAGTAGTGGGAAGGAGAAGCTTTGAAGATATCTATTGGCTTTGTAGAAACCAGAAAAGGATGGGCACTCATGAAAGAAGCATCTCAAGGTTGCATTTGGGGTTTTGTTTTATGGATGTGCATCTAGGTTTGAACCTCTGGGTTCAAACACAGTTTAAATACTCAGTGATAAGAAATAATGAATATATTAAAACAGATAGCAAATGTTACCTTAAAATTAATAAAATTAAGGCTGGGTATGGTGGTACATGTCTTTAAGACCAGCACTTGGGAGGCGGAGGCAGGCAGAGTTCTGTGAGTCAATGGCCCAGATCAACTGAAGCTACAGGGAGATCCTGTCTCAACCCCCTTCCCCCAAATTGATTAATTAAAAAAAATAAAAGTCAGGGACACCTCATCTTAGAACAATAGAACAGTTCTGATGGAGTCACAGAAGGATTGGAAACGAGGTAGAAGACTAAGTGGAGTGGGGAGTAGTATTGGAAAATTTCATGAAATGTGCTCTCCTAAAATGTCACCACTCTGAGAAAGACTAGATAATCTATGTATATAATAAATGAATATGGACCCCCTCCAAAAAGGCTATAGTAAATGTGTCCAACTTAATAAATATTGTTCCATTAATGGAGTTTACAACATTAGGTATGATGCTTCTGACCCTGTTACTTTTTATTCCTTTCAAAGATTTTTTTCCCAAGAAGTACCATTTTGGGTACTGATTTAGTTTTCTGTTGCTATGATAAAAAAATCTCATCAAAACCAATTTGGGGAGGAGAGGGTTTATTTGGCTTACAGCTCACAGCTGGTCATCATGGGAAGCCAAGGGGAACCTGGAGGTGGGAGATGAAGCAGAGACCATGAAGGAACATCACTTACTAGCTTGCTGCCTCCCCCCAACACTTGCTCAGCTATTTCTATTACACAGCCCAGGCCCAGTGAATTGGGCCCTCCTTATCAATCAGCAATCAAGAAAGTACCCCATAGATAGGTCAATGGGTCAATCTTGATGGACGAAATTTCTCATTTGAGAAATGAGAAATTTTCCCAGGTGTCTGTAGTTTGTGTTAAGTGGAAAAAAACTACTCCAGCACAAATACTATCTTCACAGTTGATGAAACACTTGTTAATTAAATGAGAAGAAAGTGATCTGGTCTCCAGTGCTAATGGGAATTTTTAAAAAAAGAAATGTTACTATTTGTAGGGGTTGATGAGTGGGAGAGTTAGAGGGTTATTAGGAGACTGTTAGTACTCAAGTCTTGTTTTTTTTATTATTTTCTGTTTTTCACTTTGTGGTGTTTAATAAATATTTTCTTAATGAATGAATAATGTTAGATACCCCTCCATTTGAATACTACAGACAGCATGGGTGGCATACATGCAAAGTCACCACCAACCAAGAATGTCTAAGATGTCAAAGCCAGATAGGCCTGTATGCAGATACAGGTTTTTGAAAAGTATAGTGTCACTTACGTTTACATTAGATAAAAACTTATGCCCTATTTACACTGTTGGGTGAACATTTGCTCTTTACCTTGCAAATTGGCCATCTTTTGTTGCTAATTGTTTCCTGAGCCCCTGCAGAGAAACGTCCTTTAATCTGCCTTCCGTTTATTCCTGAGCATCTTCTTAAAACACCTTATCCATGCTAATAAAACCTTGGAAGTTATTGATTCAGTGATCTTTCTGTTCTAAGGAACCAGGAGTCTTTAATGTAAATTGTTACATAAATCATATATTGTGCCATCCCCCTTCTGCATCCATCACCACCTAGTCACACAGGACATAGTACAATAAATGTATGGTTAGCCAGGAATCAAAGTAACACCATAGTGGAAATGATGTAGATATTAGTTAACCAAGGAAAACTGCAGATGTATATTGGTAGCTGTGCCTCATGGTTAGGCAGGGTGACTAGATGTGAGTTAACAAGAAAAAACACAGCTATGTCTTAGAAGCTATGTCTGCTGAATATCATGTCATAATGCTGTTTTGTGGTTAAATATCCTTGATGTTGCAGTTATGTTCTTGTTATCATCAGGTATGAATACACCAGAGAACTTTTCCGAGTGACAATATGCACACTTAGAAAGTGTGCATCCTCAAATGACCCCACTTTCATTATAATTTCCATTCTTTCTTTGACTCCTCTTGTCATCTTTAGAAGAGAACCACGGGAAGAAATGCCCTAAAACAGAGATATGTTCTACCATAATTTGAGAGAGACTTAAAAATTCACAGCAGAGTCCAATGGGCTGCTTCTTACCCTTGCCGCCGTGATCGCCCTGCTCCAAACTCTCTGCAGTGTACAATTCGCTTCGCTTTGCTAAGTGAACGCCTGCTTGAACTATCTGCATTTCTTGACTGAATTTCTTACTTTGAGAAGACAAACACTAGGAGAAATATTTGCTAGGTAACAAAGACAGAAAAAGCTAGGTGAATGAAGTGCAGGCTGAGGTCTGGTGTATTCTACTACTCTTCGCCGTATTTTTTAAAACAGGATCTCATGATGAACCTGAAGTTTGTCAATTTGACAAGACTGGATCACCACTAAGGTCCAAGAAACATCCTGTTTCCAAAACCACCCCATTCTAGCACTGGGGATACAGACATGCACCACCAAACACAGCTTTTTACATGGGTCCTGGGGACCAAACATATGTTTTCACACTTTCTTGGCAAGCACTTCACTGTCTGAGCCCTCTCTTCAGCTCCTTAAATAGGGATCATTTTTGAAGTTTAAATAAAATGATACAGGTAGAATATGCAGACTACTGTTTTGCCTAGTAAATATTAGCTATTATTGTAGGTTGTAGTTTTATTAAAAGCTGATACAATTGCTTAACACAGATCATAATACTATATGTCATATATGACAGAGAGAGAGAGAGAGAGAGAGAGAGAGAGAGAGAGAGAGTCACTATGTAGCTTTGGATGGCCTGAAATTTGCTATGTAGAATAGTCTGGTCTTAAACTCACAGAGATCTGCCTGTCTTTGTCTATCCAGTGCTGGGATTAAAAGTAGGGCCCACCACAGTCAGCCCAAATATAATTTAAGAGTCCTTAAAAATACTCAGGGTGCTGTGGATAAAGAGACACTGTTATTGATAATGGCAGTAATGGAACCACCTAGGCCAACATCCGAATACAGTTTGATCTTGTAGTCAGCTTCTGAGAGGTGAAGCTGCTTTCCCATTATAATACCACTAGTAATGGATAAAACTTTAAAAAATGTTTCATTATTTTATTTTATGTGTATGAATGTATTGCCTGCATGTATGTATGTGAGTGCATCCGTGTTGTGCAGTGCCGTGGAGGTCGGAAGAGGGCGTCGCATTGCCGTGGAATTGGAGTTAAGGAAGGTTTCATAGCTGCCATGTGGGTGCTGGGAATCGAACTTGGGTCCTCTGCAAGACCAGTCAGTGCTCTTAACAGCTGAGCCATCAAAACTTTCTTTTTCTTCTTTCCTTTCTTCTTTCTTTCTTTCTTTCTTTCTTTCTTTCTTTCTTTCTTTCGTTTTCTTTCTTTCTTTCTTTCTTTCTTTCTTTCTTTCTTTCTCTCTCTCTCTCTCTCTTTCTCTTTCTCTCTTTCTTTCTTCTATTATTTATTTATTTATTTACTTATCTCTCTATAGCCCTAGCAGGCCTGGAATTCAACATGTAGAGAGCAGCCCAACTAAATTCCAAGCATGGCTTTTTAGTTTTTGGAAACCATCCCATATATCACAATTCAACTTTCTTCTTGGAGCTGGTAAGCCAAAGACTAGAGCTATGAAGGAGAACACGGGTCCGCCCCTCCGGTAGGCGGCGCTGAAGCGACAACAGGCGACTCCTGCTGGAGTCAGGAGCAAGCCCCTCAGTCCGACTAGCGGTCACCGGCGTTTTCGTCATCCGGTTCCTGTTTGTGGCAGCGGCCCGCGGAAATTTGAAATGGCTGACGGGTTGTTGACGGGTGTCGTTCTGGAGCCTCCCGCCGTGGTTCCACAGCACTTTGACCAGGCGGTTGCAGAGAAACCGGCGGCCCTGAAGAAAGGTGAGCGCAGCTGTGCCAGGAGGGCCGTTTTCGCGGCGGCCTGGGGCCTAGGAGGGGACAACCGCCGCGGGGCCGGATACCAACGGCCGCCTGGCCCTGGCGCAGGCAGCCCACTGCGGGGTACTGGGCGGGGTGGCCTGAGTGGCAGCGAGTGCTGAGTGGAGCCCTAGACCCATTCTTGGGATTTGAGAGTGGGCCGGAGGCATAGCTGGCTACTCTGGTTCTCCACCCTTTTTGGCTTTAGCTTCGGGAGATTGGATCCAGCCGGAAATTCCCGATCTAGAAGGGCCACGGGCCGTTTTGTGCTCAGTTTTACGTTGAGCGACCATTTATCATGACCCACACTTCCCCTTCCCCTTTTAGAAAAAGGTGTTTGAACTCTCATCGTAGCTACCTGTCCTGAACACAGGAAATGGGACATGCCCAAGTCAGCAGAACTGAATTGAAATAGAATCTAGAAATAGAAAGAACCCAGGTCGCCTAACTCCCAAGTCTTTGCACCTGGGCTTAGAGAGTCTATTTGCATTTTAATTTTTATTTGCCATCCTAGGGCCTTGAGTCTGTTAGGCAAGCACTCTTGTCACTGAGCCACTGAGTATCTCCAGTACTAGGTGGTTCATTTTTTAGGCTGGTTTATGTTATTTAGCATTTTCAGTTATAATGTGTAGTGGAATGAGTTCTGTTAAAGTGAGAAAACATAGGTGTGACTTTACTACTCTACATTCTGAACAGCCAAAGGTTGCTTAGGTTCACTTTACTCCTTTGGAAAACAGTCACTGATTCAGTTTCTTGATAAAATGCAATACTGTGAAAAGAGTCAGTCTTAAAGTGGCTGTAAAGAAAGGCCTCTATTGTATATTATCACTTGCAGAATTTTAAAAAGCAGAATTTACAAGCCAGCATGATGGTGCACACATGCCTGTGATCCCAGCACCCGAGAGACAGAAAGCAAAAGGAAGATAAAATCAAGGTCATCCTTGGCTACCTAGCAAACTGGACGCCAGCTTAGGCTGCATGAGGCTTGTTTCAATAAAACCAAAACAAACTTATAGAAACAGATTTGACATGGTGGTTTCCCAGACAGTAGGTGAACTAGGAAGATGTTTGTCAGATGAGACCTGATGAAAAATATTGTTAGAAATAAAATCTGAGGTCAATACTGCGCAAAGAACACATGGATAAAGTAAAAGTAACTCTGTAAGGCAGATTCTACTGTTGCAAAAGGGTGTTGTATGTGGTCAGTCAGATTCAAGAAGCACACAGTTGACCTGTAAGCTTTGTGGGCTTTTACCCCTAACATAAAAGACAAGAGAACTCTTGTCTTTTTCCCATTGAGTATACCTCACAGTCTTTCCTTGTTGGCTAGTTTAAAAGAATCTGTAGGGAGAAGAGCTCCAGGCCATCAGGCTCGAAATGTATCAGGGCCTTTCCTTAAAAGTCTTACTGGGTATGGTGGGATTAAAAGATTAGAAGTCATCAACCAAGTCCAAGTTTTACAGAGTTTGATAGGAAAGAATAATGTACACTCTGATGATGACAGAGTAGATCATGAATTCTCACCATAAAGTTATGTAAGGTTTAGGGATTATTTTATTTTTCTACTTTATTCTTGGAAAAAAAATTCATTAAAAATTATTCCACCAAGGAGTGCTAATTCTTTGTTGATATTCAAATTTAAACTGTTCTTTCTTCTTTGTCTCATAGGTGAAAAACATGAAAAATGGTTTCTGTAGCAGTTTCTTTGATAGTTTCTCAAGCACTTCTGGTTGGTTGGGTTCAAAATACTACTGGTTAAGTTCAAAATACTACTTTGTTTTTAAAGCATGCAATTTATGTGTGTCTTCACTGATGATGGGAACATTTTCATTTTGTTCTTGGGCTGTCAGGTTACCTTAACAGTCAATGCACACAGGTTCATAGGTAGGAAAATAATACTCCATTTGATCTCATGTCTTTCAGGAAACAGTGTTTAGCTTTTTTCTATGCGAGTTTTTAAATCTGCTTTTGGATTTTAACTACATGGTAGCCATAATATCTGCATTGGGGAACTTGCCTTTGAATGAAATTGACCAGTTTCACTTGCTATAGAAATTTAATCCCAAATTCTAACTCTTTTTGAGGAGGTTTAATTCATCTGTGTACTTCTCAATTACTTTCATTTGCTTTTCACAAAATAGCAAAGAGAGGGTGTTCTCCCCACTTAGACCAATTATCTTACCAACTGTCTAGCAAGTCCTGATAATCTTCCAACCAAACTTCTTCTCATGACTTTCTAAATTCCAAATAACTGATGACTGGAAAGTGGTCAGATTCTCTGGGTTTTGGATTGATTCAGTGATGCTGTGGTTTTTTTCTCATGTAGTCTTAAATTTTAAAAAAATTATTTTTTATGTGTGTGAATGTTTTGCCTGTTTTTATGTAAGTGCACCTGTGCATGCAATGCCTGTAGAGGTCAGAAGAGGGTGTCGGATACCCTGGAACTGGAGTTAAGCACTGTTGTTAGCTACAATATGGGTGTTGGGAACTGAACTTGGGTCCTCTGCAAGAGCAGCTAGTGCTCTTAACCACAGAACCATCTATCTCCCTAGCCCCTTCTCATGTTATCTTTAAGTGTTTTTGTCCCTGAAGGTGTTTTCGTAGTACAAGCACTGTATATTACCAAGTTTCATCTGTAATGTATGAAAGAATTCACTGCTGTTTACATTGTTTCGAAAATAAATGTTGAAAGCATATTCTGTGGTTCTAGGTTTTGAAAGGATGTTTGCAAAAAATCCCTTACTACAAAACATACAAATGCCATGAAAGTTGGTATCAAATTAGTCCAGAATTTCTTTCAGCCTGTTTCTAAAGCTCTCTTCTAAGAGTTCCACCTGCTGGTAAAACATCACATAACAAAAAACAGTCTTGTTTTTCAAATGGAGCTGTGGAATTCTTAACACTTTGCAAAAACCTGTGATGGGTTATTTGATGAACCTTTTCTTTCAATATAAAATGTACCTTTGGGAATCTGCAAGGAGCTTAGCATTAGCTGTGCAGCCTTATGGTCAATCATGTGTTTCACAACTTCTTATTCAGCTGTGTGAAAATGTTCTTCCCAGAAAATATAAGGCATACACGGAGAACCTTCTAAAGTGGTGGTTCCTGGCAGAGAAAGAAGCTCCAGGACTGGGGTTGTAGTTTGTTAGCAGAGTGGTTACCTAGCTTGCATGGAACCCTGGGTTCAGTCCCCAGGACCAAATAAAACTGGGCATGCTGTTACATACTTGTAGTCTCAGCAACCTGGAAGGTGCAAGCAGGGGGATTAGAAGCTTAAAGTCTTCCTAAGTTTCACAGTGAGTTTGAGCCCAGCACACTTCAGGAGACCTAGTTTTTTTTTGTTTTTGTTTTTGTTTGTTTGTTTTTTTAGGATTGTAACAGTCTCAGGTTTTATTTATTTACATACTTTGGTTTCATTTATTCACTTGTTATGCATGTGTTCATTCAGTTACATATTTCTATTTTTCCTTAAATTTATTTAGCAGATACATAAAACATAGCAATTATACATACTTATAGCATGCAGTATTTTAATACATGTATTTATTGTATAATGTTTAAATTAGGATAAATTGTTTCCTTAGACATTTATTTCTTTGTGGTAACAATTTCAAGTTCCTTTCCTCTAGCTTCTTGAGATGTACAGTACATTGTCATTATCTGTAGTCACTCTATTCTGCAATAGCACACCATATCTTGCACCTGTCTAGTACCCATTGATCAACCTCTCTCCCCATAAGTGTTCCCTCTCCTCCCCAGGCTCTGCTAACCAGCATTGTACTCTAAAATTCTATGAGAGCAAGTTTTAAAAAATAATTTATTATTTTTATTTTATGTATATGACTAATGCCTGCATATGTGTAAGTGCACCTGTGTTGTGCATTGTCCATGGAGGTCAGAGGAAAGTGTTGGACTCTCCTGGATCTGTAGTTATGGATGGTTGTTACCCACCATGTAGGTATTGGGAACTGAACCCATATCCTCTACAAGAGCAGCCAGTGCTCTTAACCAGTGAGCCATCACTGCAGCCTGAGAGCTAATTTTTTTTTATATAACCCAAATGTGAGATCATGTGGTACTTGCCTTTCTATATGTGACTTGTTTCACTTACATAGTAATCTCTAGTTACATCCATATTGTTGCAAGTGATAGGATTTCATATTTCTTTTTTTTTAACTTTAATACCCCACACACACCAAAAAAAAAAAAAAAAAAAAAAAAGGTGGCTTTAGAATAGGTTCTAACCTGTCTTCATAAGAAATGCCTAATTCTACTGGGATTCCCCCATTGTGCTCCTCCAGTCTGGCCCCGAGTCTCGTGATAACAATTTTAATTTGTCGTATGTACCTTAGCAAAGTTGGAAAAGCAAAACAAAAAGTAACTGTAAAAAATAAGTACTGAAGTAAGCTATTTCTTTAGCTAGTATATGTATTACATAATGGGTACTGTTGTAAATAATTAAGAACTAATCCTTAGGAAAGTAGGCATACCATTCTGTCTTTCCTTTATGGGAAAGGAAACCAAGGCATAGTGATGCTTTCTAAGGCTTATGTACATCATAATTTGCAAGCAAGAAAGTCGAGTATTCTTCGGTTAGAATTCAGAGAAATGGAAAGAAGAAAAAGGAAGGAGCAAATGAAGGAAGTCAGGGAAGAAAGACAGCTGCTCATAGGAGTACAACAGTTTGTATTAGTTAATTTTCTGTTGCTGTGATAAAGTACCAAGACCAAAAGCAACTTATAGAAGAAAGAAGAGTTTATTTGGGCCTATGGTTCTAGGGGAGAGTCCACAGTGGTAGGGGCAGGGGCGGGGCATGACAGCAGGCCATGAGCAGGATCAGAAGCCAAGAGATAACATTTCTATCCACTAATAGGAAGCAGAGAGCGAACAAGCTGTGTGAGTGAAGTTGTGAACTCTGAAGGCCTGCTCCCCCAGTGACCTGCTTCCTTCAGCAGTGCTGCACCTGCTAAACCTCCCCAAACTGTCATCAACTGGGGACCAAGTGTTCAGATACCTGAGCCTAAGGGGGACAGTTCTCATTCAAACTACCACAGTTTCCTATACCTTTCCTGAAGCCACCGTTAGGAAGTATGCTGCCAGCTATAAGCCAGTACACAAATCATGGCTTATGAAACCTAATTACATACAGCTTACACCTAAGGTGGTTTGCATTTTCTCCTTTGCCTTAGATACAGTCATTTGTTGCGGGTTCTCCTGAGGCCAGCTGTGAAGACCCTGACCTGGATTGGGTCCCCTGCCGATTAGGGGGGGCAAGAGGTGCAGAGTCACGACACACAGACCCTGGGAATCAGGTAGAAGCAAGCACTAGGCGAGGTGTTGCAGGCTCGTTTAATGCAGGAGGGGGCAGGCCTTATATTCCCCTTTTCTCCACCCCTAAGTCCCTTTAGTCAGCATATCATTTTCTGATTGGTCCACGCCACGCAGTCTGTCAGCAGTCACTAGGCTCGCGAGCAGGGTACAGAGACATGGGCTCCTTTTGGTGGGCTATTTGGGGACCAAGAAGTGAAGTGAATTCTTGCTGAATCTCAGGGCTCTGGGTCTGTGCCGTCTTTGGAGGCCTCCTGCTACAGTCACTGAAATTATAAACCTACTTAGTGTTCTTAGTGAAGTAAGCCTTTTTTGAGGGGCCACTGACAGAAGCCATTTTCATACTGAGGAAAATAAAGAGAAGCTTCACTGCTCTTTTACAAAGTATGTAGGAATGCAGTTTCCCTACTTAAATATATTTTGGTGGAATTCTTTTGGAGGAAAAAATAAGTATGAGGTGGTACTTGACCTGTGCTTGCTAATTATACTAAAAATCATTAGGGTTGGCGAGATGACATAGTGATTAAGAAAGTATATTGCTTTTGCAGAGGATTTCATTGGTTTATTGAACTTTACTCTTAAAACACAAAATTTAGACAAAATTATTTTAAAAATTTAAGGTGGTAATCATAATGTATTGACTCTGTGTTACTGCATTGGTTGTATGCTTCATAGAGTCAGCCATGGGTATTACTACACACATACACACACACACACACACACACACACACACACACACACCAGTTCATTACTTTGGATGTTATTCCCACTCTGATTCCTTAAAGATACTCTGACTCTTGCCTCTCTCGTATTAGCAATCATGTGAGCCTGTGTCGTTTTGCCTTCTCCAAATAAATGTTTCTCCTCATACTGAGAAAATGTGTAGTTGATCAGCTCCATGCCATTTCTCTTTTTCTTATATGCCTCTTCTTTTCATCCTTTACTCTTTGCATTAACTGAAGAAATGTGTATCTCTCTGTGTGTATGTGTGTATACAGTGTTTTATTTTCCTCTGAGTGATTGTCTTCCACAATCCTCACAGAGAAACAACAAAAACATGTGAAATATTTTAAGTGTTTATTTTTAAAATATAATTTAGATTTTGAGATA